TATATATATATAAAGGAATTGCCCCATAGCTGTGCCTAATGAACTAAATTTCCATTTCTTTGCTCACACTGGCTCTGGCAGTGCCAGTGCCTTTGCCTTGAACGTTTTCTGGTTGAGCTGCTTCTGTGCCGCTGTTGCCGCTGTTGCCAGCGTTGCCAGATCGTTGGCATGAGCAGCTCCCACTTTGCTGTTTAGCTCCCGCTCGCTGCTGGGGCCACATTAACCTCTTTGTTAATCATTTATAAACAAATGCTAATCAAATAAAAAACACAGCTGGCAAACCAGGTGAGCCCAGCTGAGCTGAGTTGCAGCCAAGCCGTAGCCGTAGCCGTAGCCATAGCCGTAGCCGTAGCCGTAGCCGTGGCTGTGGCTAAGCCCTGAGTCAAGGCACACGCGGCTATGCAAATAAACAGCCAGCAAATGAGCAGCGAAAATGGCGGAAACAAAATGGCAAAAGCAAACACAACCGACAGAAAAACCAGAATGACAAGGCATGCATACAAAAGGATGATGAAGGAGAAGAACAAGGAAAAGTAGAAGAAGATACACAAGCTGCCAAAAGCACACAGCGTGTGGATGTCTGTGGAGCAAGGAAATGCAGCAGCAAACAAAAACACAACAAAAATATATAAAAACTTAAGCGAACTTTTTTTAATACTTCACGAATGGCCACGAAGGTCTTAAGGAAACGCCCCCGTTTACCATCCCCACCACCCCCCTCTCCCGTTGGCACGCCCACACCAAATTCGACAAGAATGAAAGCTGCTTAAAAGGAACATCAAAGTTCATAAGTTATCAATAAATTGCAAACTATAAAGTTTGTCTCTCACGCTCTAGGCATGCTCATCGAATCCATCGAAGTTCAGCTCTGGCTTGTCGCAGACAAGTAAGGGGTATCTGAGTAACGAAATATTCATAGGCTGTATATATTTGAATAGAAGCTGCATATAAGATTTTATATATATATAACTCTTTAAGATTTCGAGAGATGCTGGAAGAATCCATTTAAATATCTAATACATATATTTCGAATCCATCTATCGAGTCTCTATAGGTGCAGTAAAAGGACGAATGGAAATTTTTATTTTCTTTAAACGTGTTGTCTGAACCCCCTTTAAAGTCTTTAACCGGTATATTGTTATAATAAAACCTGGCCGGAAAGTATAACTCATAGCTTCTGGGTGCGAAATCGAGGCGAAAATGGAATTGTTAATTTGATTTGAATCAATTTCTCGCTTCTGTTTTTTGAGAAGTCAACACGAGGGCAAAGCTCGAGCTCGGTTTTCATGAATATTTTCGACTCGCTTATAAATTTAAATAATCCCCATCAACTTTACACGGCAGAAGCACTGCAAATTGCATTTTGAGCTGTCACGCGTTGCCTTCTGTCGGCAGGACGAGACGTGGACCAGAGCCTGGACCTGGACCTGGACCTGAACCTAGACATGGACATGGGCATGGGCTTGGCTTCTATTGACTTGCTAAAACTTTTAATCAATGCCAAAAAGTGAAAAGGGGGGAACGAAGAAGCCGAGGCGGATGAGATGCTATGGCCTTTGAATGGAATACGAGCATGCCATGTAAAAGGGGTTAGGCGTGCAGAGGGGGCTGGGCGATTGCGTCGACTGAGTGGGTGTCCTGGCTAAGGTCGTGGCAATTTCACAACTGCTTTCATATGCAAAAGATTCCAGTGGCGCTGGAGCGCATAATTAGTTTGGCCAGCTGTGTCTGTATGCGACTTGGCTTAGTTTCAGCTTTGCGCTTCCATTTCATCTACTCCTTCACTCTAGCCTCTATTATCTGTCCTCTATCCGGGCATCCTTATCTGGGCATCCTGTTGCTTCTGGAACTATTTAGCCCAGTTTTATGGTTTGGTTGCCAGGACGCTATCGCTCGCATTTCCTTTTGGCCCCCGCCTCTAATGATATTTTAATTAATTATGTGCGCCAATCTTGGCAACAAGACACTTGGCTCACTTTATCCGCTTATCAATCTAACGGTTTATCAGTCTATCAATTTGTTGCCTTGTTTCCCAGCAATTGGCTGAAACGTTAAGCCAGCGCTTGAGCGTTTCAAAAATTTGTAGCCAACAATCGAAACGAGAAGCCTTGAACTTTATGGAATATTCCCATTAAGCCGCGGATCAAAGGTCATGACTGACTATTACAAAGTTCCGGGTCCGAAGCATATTAACTAGGCTTACCATTTGGCTTGCTCTGTTTGCCAATGAATATCGATGGATATCACATTTATATTAACTTATTCATAAATTTAATTTACTTTCTGTACTTCAAGTTTAATCTAACTTATCGATAACTTTCACTCAATGTAACATATGTAGTTTTCTTCATATCTAAAGCTGGGGTATCTCTGAGTCGAGTATGCGCAACTGCAACTTTCACACAATGCTCTTTCGATACTTTCATTTATAGTTATTGGAGGTAATTGCCTGCCAGGCGCCAACGCAACTCTCACTCATATTTCCCCATATACGCCCCCGTTTCCTGCCCGGCATGTTCACGCTTTATCAGCAACTATGTTTGATGCCTGTCAACGCCACGCCCCCCTCCCGGCAAGCGGCAAGCGGCCTCGTGCCGCCTGCCCTTTGCTCTCTATTACAAAATTGGCCGTTGGTTTGTTTGCAAAGCGCTCAAACTGTCAAAATGGCGTGTGGCAACAGGCAACAACAGCAGGCAACGAACAACGGACAACAACAACAACAACAACCGTGTCAATAAGTCAATAGTGTAATTTCTCATTTCATATTTTCGCCAGCTACAAACACATACAAACATACATAGTGATAGATATACACATATATACAGTGACGAGCAAAACTGTAACACGAATTCAATGTTGCAACTTCAAGAGTCTGTATTTTTGCTTCTACYATATGGATGTTTAAGATCTTAATTTTATTTTGTTAGTATGGTATTTAGCTGTTTTACCTGAAAATTTGAGAGAGAGAGAGAAAATTGAGAGAGAGAGAGATCCTACAGTCCAGTCTGTTGACTGTAACATTACAGTAAGGCAAACTGAGAGAGAGACTCTGTAAAGTTTATTTTGCTCCTACAAACAAAAAGTCTTCGTTTTTCGCATACTTCTTAGAAGCCAGACGTTTTAATGTCTCTCTAGAATTTTAAGTTAGCTGAATTACATAGTTATATCTACGTAGATAGTCTATTTCACAGACTTCTGCTCAAATTCAATCTTCGTATACAATCCTACCAACAATCAATTGCTCGAATCTTTCAACCGAGTAGAAGTTAATGTTCTGTATTTACGTATCTCAAACTAAAAGTTTCACAAAAGAATAAAACGAAAACAAATGAGCTTTGCTCTTCGCTTCGAATTTCAAAAGTTTAGTTTGAAAGGATATTGAAAAAACTTTTCTCACTTTTCTTTCAAATTACAAAATAATAATAAAAGACGAAAAAAAAAAGGTAAAACAAATTTTCCGTCAGATCAAATGTGCTTTGGATTTCAGTTCAGGGATAAACGTACGTAAGCGTATATAAATTTGTGAGTTGGAATTGTATGTCTGAGTGTGAGCATTTACAGAGACTTTTCGGAGCTGAAAAATAGGAATTTTTTTTCCCATTTGGAATGAACACAACTAAACACATAACATATACATACATAAACATAAATACAAACATATATATTTAAATATATATATGCAAGATCAAAAGCAATATCTGCAGTTTCTAGTTCACGTAGTATAGATAGCGCGCGAAAGACGGTAAGTAAAAGTCTCGAAAGCTAACGAACTTCCTCTCACTACTAGCCCTCATCCCTGCCCGGCTGTTAGGCAAGGTCATGTCATCAAAGGACACACTGCAGAATCACAACAGCAATTGGTGCGGCATGGAGCAGAATCTCAATCAAGACATCGATGAGCTGAACTCAACATTTGAGAAACTGATGCGTCCACATAAATCAAAGTACGCCTATCTACGGCCCTCAACATCGCCAATACTCACTGACCCCATCACCCCGAGGCAGCAGCCAAATGCTATCCAAACAGTGGCAACAGCAACCACACCTCAGCCAATGGATATGCCGAGTCGTATGAGAGCTATTAAAGTTTTCAACGTAATGCTCGCCCGTCTCTGGCGTCGTCGTTGCGCCGAGGTCTGTGATTTGCATGAGCTGGTTCGCAAATATCAAATCAAGGTGAGCATTGCAAAGCAGGTACAAATTCCATTAGACCATAGTTTGACTTCCTAATGAAGGAAGGTACGTGATAGACACGCTTTAACTTCAACTCAGATCTGTAAACTGCACTCGGATGAATCTCTTTATCTCTATGGCTCAGTAGTGAACTGTTTTGTAGACAGAATCCGACTTAGTTACCAAATCGCAACACCATCTTGTGTTCCTCAATTTATCTCTCTCCAAAATTGTGAAAATATTTTTCTCATGACATGTTTTCCAAGGCAAACCATAAAAACTGGTTTTTCATCAAAAAATGAGGTTGATCTCTTGATTTAAAGCGCTAACCATAGCTAAAGCTCCTTGAGAAGCAATAATACAATAATCTATCTACTATAGAGTTTTTAACAAAGAAAGTTACAAAACTAAGCTCTTAGGAATTATCTTTTATTTAAACAAGATATTTGGTTCAATCTTAACGTAAATTTTATATAGTTTTTAACAAAGTATCCACACATGCTTATCTAATTAGCCTTGCATATCCTCTAAACGCAACAAATAGATCTATAGCAATAAATTGAGAATTTATAGATAAATATCCGTCTCTTTTATATCTAATATGCATAGATATTATGAGATACCTTTTGGGAGGATTTCACAGGTAGTCTTATACATGCTAATTTTATATTATATAATCCCAGGCTAGTACAATGAGAGATGACTTATTCATGCGCAACAGGATGATCTGCAAGGAGCAGAGACGCTGCGATCGTCTCGAAATGGAGCTACGTGAGGTGAAATATGCTGCAGAGCTGCGCTCCCAGGGATGTATTAGCGTTGAGAATGCTTTGAATGCTTTGCGTCGCAAGGAGGCAAAGCTGCGCCGTGAGCTGCGCGTCAAGACACAGGAATGCAATAGTTTTGCAGAATTGCTTAACGCCACTAAGACTGAAATGTTCCAGGAGTTGACCAAGTTTCGCGAATGCGCCCACGAATTGGCCGAACAACAGCGCCAGAATCGCGTTCTCGAGATGCGTAATGCCGAACTGGAGGATGAGGTAATGCTCTCTCTCTCTCTCTCTCTCTCTTTCTTTCTCTCTCTATCGCTTCTCATAAAAATATCTCGATTACTTAGCTATTGACTCTGAAAGATCGCTTCCAAGCACAACACGATGATATCGTTATTGCTGTACATTCAAAGCAGGAAAAAATCGATAAGGCATACGAGGCACTGAAGGGCTACGAACAGGAATTGGCCGAACTAGAGCTGTAAGTATAAATATTTTGGTTCTATCTCTCACTTGGTCTATCGTCTCTCTCTCTCTCTCTCTCTCGTTTGTCTCTTACTGATTATTATTCATTTTCTCTCCAACAGTAAACACGCAGAGCTGCTGAGAGAGACCCGAAACGATCGAATTGCACAGGAGATCAAGAAAATCGAACGCAATATCGGAATGGTTCGCTATGTGATCTATTTCATCAATCCGTATCGCTGGCGCGTGCTGCGCTCGATTTGGCCAAGCTTGAGTCTGATTGCACATGAAGTTGTTGCCAGATTTTTGAACGTCCCAATCCGTAAGCCCATATCGATGCCAAAAATGTCAGTCGCATCGGTGGGCATCTGTGTCACAATCATCTTGCTTATCGGCGCCGTATTTTGACCACATATATACACAGATATGTATGTATATAGATATATAGTTAAATATCAAGTCGGCTATATGAGAGACTAGTTAGGCCACATCGTGAAACAAATTTCTATATAGATCTATATATATATTAGATCAGTGAATGTTGTAATTTCAGTTGTTACTTATCGCTTTCGTTTTCATCTCTTCTATATTTTTTCCTTTGCAAGTGAATCACTAGATCCAAGTCTAAAAATTTTTGTCAGATAAAGTAATCGAAATTTACATTTGAATGAATCCCTTATCCCTTATCTACATGTAAATGCTTACAATACTGAAGTAAGCATGTCTAACGAGTATAATCTGTATATTATATACATATGTATACATGCATATAAATATACAT